TAATAATATTAATAATATCATCACAATAATTCGAACACTCTATATATAATCAAGTAAGGATATAATACGTCATCGGGTATAATCTTGAGATTAGGTGGTAATGGATATAGATCCATTAATGCTTTCCACAATCCTCTCAACCAAGGATCAAGCATTCCATCAATACTAAATTTTTTTTAATTAATAAAAAAATGAATAATGATATTATTATTATTATCAAAATGAACACATGAAAAATTAGCATGTACATCTATATATAAATCATCACTCATAATTAACTTAATAACCAAATAACTAACCCAAGGTAATGTTGATCATCACCTTCACCACGAGGATAAATACTTTCAGCTCCTAATTGTAAGAGTCGCTTATAAAGTTTTTTTGCTGGCCAATTATATTTGACATATGATGAATCACCAAGACCAAAAACCGTGAATTTCATTTGATTCAAAATATCTTTTGGTAAATTTTTTCTTAATAAAAATTCCCAGAATTTCTATATCCAAAAAAAATTATTTTTTATTATTATTGATTTTTTCAAGAAATCAATTCAAATATCAAAAAAAAATTATTTTTTCATATTATTGATTAGTTGAAGAAATCAAATCAAATATTAATAAACTTACTTTCATATTATCAGGTTCATCGCCCTGTCCAGTAGTTGAACATACAAAAATCACCAATTCTTCATTGATCAAATTATCCTGAGTGAGATTTTATGGGGGGGTTTTTTTTTTTGAATAATGAGCTACATACATATATATTTATTATATCACCACTTTTATCTACTTTTTAAATATAATACTATTTATTTATTATACTATCAATCTTTACCCTATTGTATGAGTCCATTGCAAAATTTCTTGCTCTAAAATGTCTTCTTTTTGCTTGTCTTGTGATTCTTTCAGCAACATCTTGTGCAAAACCAGTTTGACTACCATAAAGTATCAAAATTTTACGATCTGCGCTAGACATTTTTAAAAAATTGATTATAAACGGACGAGACGCAGCAAAAACATTTCTGTATTAGTATAACCAGTACAGCTCGAGTCATCTCACTTTTGTCGATCAGCGGCAAAATTTCAAATTATATTACACTGAAATTAACTATTAAAAAAAAAAAATTTAATACTGATCTAAATTATTTAAAATATTACTTAGAATAATACGATGACGTTTGCATTTTTTTAAGGCATATTCAGCCTGTTTTGCATCTAATCCTTGTCTATAACATTCCATTTATTTAAAAGAATTTTCTAATTTTTCAAGAGAAACTGCATCCAAAACCTCGGGAACAATTTTTTGTAAACCACTCCAAGTGTAATCACAATTTCTTCGTGCATATTCCTTTGCTGATCCCCAATACATTTCAATGAAGTTCAATTCACAGTGAAATTTAGGATAAAAAATTACTCTGTGACCATATGATTCAAGAAATAACATACGGAAAAACAGTAGATGAACCGTATTGTTTTACGGAATAGGTACGGAATAGGTATGGAAAAATGTACGGAATCTTCTGTTTTCCCGTACATTTTCCGTATATTTTCAGTTTAATTTTTTATAGGGTAGATGTATAAATATTGTTGATAATGTTCAAAAGGTAATAAATGATTCATCAATAAATAATGATTCTATCAGATATAATAATGTGTTAGAATGGAGCTGGTATGGCTTTAATTCAATGTTTAAAGCTCATTTTAGAACCATACCAAATATCCCTATTACTATAAAAAATTTGACACGGAAATGTATGGGAAAATGTACGGAAAAATGCGAATTTCAGGTGAAATTCCGTACAGTTTTCCATACATTTTCTGTACCAAATTTTTTATAGGGATATAAAGGGATATTACCATTTTTGTTTTAGTTTTTCAAATGATATAGATAAGTTTATGCTTCAAAAAAATCTTGTGGCGAAGAATTTTTTCAAAAAAAACAATTTTGATAAAAATAGACAATTAAATATTCTTGAAGTTGTCCCATTAACAAATGAACATAAAAGATATTTATATACTAAAATTCATCAGCATGTAGATGAACAATATAGAGACATTTTTTGCCAAAACCTTAATTAACTTTTATCTTTATATAATATTTTTTTTTTTATTATCTGTTGTTATTTATTTCATTATAAGTGACTCATTAATATTACCATTTTTTTTGTCATTAAGTTTTTATTTCTTTACATAAAATTTCGTGTAACTTAGAAAAATGATCATTCAGGATTTCAAGGCGGGAAGAAATTTTATCAAAAAACTCAATTTTGGTCAGGGGGCCCGTGACTGGTTTTGTATTGCTATTAAAAAATTATAATTGTGTTGGATTATAGAAATTTATTAAAGAAAATCTCATTTTATTTATACAGATTTTTGGATTTTAATTAAACAATTTTATTATTGTCGCTCACATCCATCAAAAGATATTCTTTCTGGTTGTCTTTTGGCACAAGAAACAGCTTTTGTTAATCAAGCAGTGATTAAAGGATTGAAAATTCCCAAGACTTGACTTGGGTATGTTATAAATTTTAAACTTGAATTGGGATTCGGACTAGTTTCAGATTTCGGATTAGTTTCGGAATTTCGGACTTTCAGATTAATATTGATATTAATTCGGACTTTCAGATTAGTTTCGGAAGAATGCAAATTCCGATACATTTCGGACCTTGTGATTAAGTTTCACCAGAAACATTAAAAAAAACCTACATACATAAATTTTATAAAAATCTATGTATGTAGTGTATACTAATACATACAATTACATGTTTTCTATATTACCGAATTTTTATTTACTGGTCATATTAGGATATATATTAATGTATTTAAAAAAAAAATGGATACAAATTCTTTTTAATTGAACGACGTTATTATTAATATTAACATTATTTAATTCTCAAGAAATTTATTAATATTAGAAGAACTAATAAATAATATTAATACATTAAATTACATTTACGCATAATGAATAATAACAACTAATTAAATTGGTTATACAATCTTGATTTTAGCTCTGCAGAATTCTTTGCCTTTACGTGTTATAGTGAAAAAATTGCCCACTAGGCTTCTAGCTTGGAATTTTTGATCAAATTCAATTGCTGCGGTTCCAGGAGGACTAATAGTCAATAGACTTCTAATTTTACTGGTAAAATCTCTTTTTGTATTACCGTTTTTATCAACAACGCGAAATCTATAATCATCTGGATCCGGACTTGTAAACCCAGTGTTGACTTGTCCAGTTACACGTGTAGTGTCTCCTTTAATCTGTGTAAAGTGGAATGTACCAGAACATTTTTTACCGCTCTCAAATTTTAAAAAAACAACATCGCCTATTTTACGTTTTTCTGAGAGAATTGGTGATGCATTGATCAAAATATTTGAGAAAATCGTAATAATTAAAAGAGCAAGTGTTAAGAATTTAAACTCCATTTTTTTATATATTATTATTATTATTAAATGTTTTGAGAAAATTTAATGTTAATTATAGTTCCAAAGGAAAGAAGAATCGCACCTTTATTTATATGAATTTTTTTTCGTAACTCAATTAAAAATTTAAATATTGGTGTAGCA